GCGCAGAGTTATACAAAGTATGTGCTCATTAATGCAAGCGTTCTTCAGCTCTTTCACTTCCTTCTTCCTTTCTTTTCTTTCTCACTGCCACATACTGAAACATGTGAGAACTAAGAAAAGCAATGAGTTAATGAGCAATGAGCAATGATCAGCTAAATCAAAGTCATTCATTCTGTAGTGATGTTCCACCCACGAGAGAAATCTGATAGGAAGAGAAGGATTAGGGAGCTAAGAGACAGGCATTTCTTGCGATATTGATGTGAAAGTCGGCAAAGAACCACTGTCCGAATCTGACAGGACAACGTGATAAAAAAGAAATTGAAAAGTTTTTACCATGGCTTAAAACTTTTCATGATCTGGCCTGCTCTGTGACCTCTCAGATTCCATTTGTTCACAATCTGTACGTTTTTCCTTCCGCTTCAGCCACATTAGCCTCCTCACCTCTCCCAAAACATGAGACTCTCCTGCCTCAGGGACTTTGCACAGGCTGCTGCATCTGTCTTGCACGCTGTTCCCACCAACAGCTGTGCGCATATTTTCTCTCTGTCTTCGCATCCGTGTTCAAATGCCACCTTCTCAATCAGGCTGCCTCGACAACCATATTTAAATTGCAACATTTTCTTCCTTGCTCCAGAATTCCCCATCTACTTTACTAGGTTTCATTCTTTTCCATCTAATCTAATCTGATCACCTTCTAATTTAATATATGGTTCATTATTATGCTTATTATTTATTATCTGTCTTCCTTACTGAAATGACAGCTCTACAAGGAAAGAAGCTTTTGTCCATTTTACCCACTACTATATCCCGGGCTTTGGCACAAGGTAGGTTATTAATAAATACTTGTTGAATTAACTAAGGCTGTAATTTACAAGAGAAATCTGAGAGATTTACAGTAATAACTTAAAACTCATTAAGAGATATATATGACTGAATAGTTTTAATGAGAAAATAATTAAATTTTTTCTTTAACTGGGAGATAATACTTATGAGAGAGAGTCAGTCCAAAACTAACTTTGAAATAAAACTTGATAAAAATCAACAAAAATAATTTCAAAATGGGAAAATGTCTGCTCCATCTGACATTAATTCCATCCATTTGGAATGGGGGGATGAGGAAGATTAATTTGGTGATGATGCAAACTCTAACAGCAAGAGGCAAGAGAGGCCTCCTAAAAAAGTAATTTTTACAATAATGAGATACAAACAACCTAGTCATTGGTTGGAAAAATAACTAGAATGTGTACAGGTTTCTTGGAATAAATATTATTTGGTCAGGTAAGAGGATGGCAACAGTAAGAGCAACAGAGGGAGTTGCTTTTACTTCCATCAAAGAGAGAGCAGATCACAGCAATAGTGAAGAAGCAGGACATGATTTGGAAAAAGAGATAAAATTCAGAGAGTATAGAAATAAGTCTACATTTCTAACCTGCAATTCATGCTGAGATGATGGCCACAATGACCATGATTTAAAAAAAAAAATGTATTGAATCAAACTCATAGGCCTTATTCCTTGATTTAAGGTTTGTGAATGACAGTTTTCCAGTGATATGTGATTCACATATCATACTATCACAATTTTCTTGCATACATATAAATGTTATTTGAAAAGTCCATAGGGCTTTTCAAACTCTGCAAACCAATTTTTAAAAGGCATTTTAAATTCATTGCTACATTTTCCAAAATAGTGTCAAATAGACCATTAACATCTATAATTATTATGAAAAGTCACAAAATATAAATAAAAAGTCCTTCTCAATATTCACAAACATCTGTTTTATTTAGCTTTAGTAGCCATATTGTTCAGTATTTAAATCTAAGAGTCTTCTTGAACCATCCCTACAAACAGTTTTCATAGGCACATATGCTACTGATATACAGAAGCACTAATGTCTATGTGTGTATGTATCTGTGTGTGTATATAAAATTTGATTATACATACAAATTACTGTGGAAAAGAAAGTGAAAGATCAATAGCAAGCAAGAAATGGTTTAATTTTGTCATTATTAGGCCTTTTACTTTTTTTGTTCCTAATAAGCAATGAGACTCTGAAAGCAAGGACAGAAACTTGAAATTTTGTTCTTAAAATAGATTAATGATTTCAAAATTTAATAAGATAAGATCAAGGTTATCATTCTTATTAATGAAATATTATATCAGGAAGGTAACTTTTATATGATAACTTTTATGTGGATGTATTCTACAGCTTCTTTTCTCATTTTTGAAAATAACATGACATTTTGTAGAATGATACACAGAATTCAATTCAGCATTGCTCCACGAGGAGCCCACTCTACTCAGAGCGGCCCTACTGCCAAATGACCATCACCCCGTGAATACATGTTAGTGGAATTCAGCTCTTGTGATTAGCACTTAGGGTGAGGAGTACTCACCCTGATGCCTGAAATTATATTATACTATCGAAAAACCATTTTGGGTCTTTTTTAAAAGGCAGAGAGAATGCAGTGGATATGTTTAAAACAGCCTTAACAAAACTATTGCTAATTAGAGGTAATTCTTTTGGTAAGAGCAATGATATAAGTGAAAAAGGACAATTTCTTCAGTATAGAGTACAGAAGTAAGAGTTTTTCTTTCTTCTTTTGTTTTGTTACCAGTGGAGCAGGCAAAATTGGACTTGCCTAAAATGACTGTTACTATTATATGCCTCTGCAGGAAAAGATACAACACTGATACATTGTTTCCATGTACAGCATCTTCTGAAGATTTTTGCTTTACGAGCATATAACAATTACACAACACTGATATAAAACTCTCAGGATTTAATTTTAAGGTTGTGTGAAGTTTGGGATTGGCAATTCTGTGAAAACTGGATATCTGCTCCCATTCACCAATGAACAAAAGGAAGAAAAAGGGTAGATTCAACTTAGCATGGTCATTGCTTAGGCTTCTATTTACAGCTTTATTGTGAAGATATTAATTGCTTTAAATTGAAGCCTCTAGTACTCATGAGACATTGGTATTTATCAGAAATGATAAAGAATGTAAATTTCATGAGTATATATGAAGTTGAAGAGATCTTGATTTTATATCAGGGACCCAGGCTCAGCCAATGTTTTCAATTTTATACTAATCAATTACTGCCTGAAATGCAGGCCCACATTTAGCAAACATTACTAAATGCCTTTTGTGTTTGTGTGTGTGAGAGAGAGAGTATGTGTGTGTGCGTGTGTGTGTGAGAGAGAGAGAGAGAGTGTGTGTGTGTGTGTGTGTGTGTGTGTGTGTGGGTATGTGTGTGACCGCCAGCTTCTGTACTATACGCAGGAAATACAAAGCATGATAAAAGTGCTTACTAAATTAATATGCTAATGGTTTCATATTCAAGGTGTTGTTTTGTATTTAGTATAATACTTGGTAATTCTGGAGATGCATGTGGGGGAAAATTTAATGCGACATTCTTCTATGAAAAATTTAAAAGTCTAGCATCAATTTCATAGGATTGCGTTACAAAGTTCTTCTTAAAGGCATTGATAATATGCAGGTGTCTCCTGCTAGTTTGCTTCAAACCTATGTAAGGATACACTGCTTTTAGAAGAAATCGAGTTTACTTTTCTGACACTTTTAGATTCACCTGTTTTATATTACTAAAAATATAAACTGATGTGAGTGATATATAAGTACTCAAGAATGTGAAATTTTCTCCTCATGCTATTGTAACAAGAAATACAGAGCAAATCAGAGACTGCAGCATTTCACAAAATGTCTTGATGGAGAGTAGACCATAAAACGACTACCACTAATAAAAACCCATTTCATAGGATGTTCACTTAATAGAATTATGGAGAAAATGTTTTTATTTTTTATTTTCAAGTAAATTTGGGAAATACTGAATTAAGTGGAAAAAAATCCTGCAATTCACTATTACTGGACTTCCAGAGCCTTTAATATGCTAATATGTATTGTGAGTCTCCAAGACAGGTGTGCTCAGCTTTTCTTAAGTCAAATATGGTTACAGGACAGCTCTTTTTTTCCCTATAGATCATCTAGTGGAATTATTATTCCAAAGAAAACACTCTTCGAAATGCTACACCGTATGCTGATTAGCCTAAGAGATTAGACTGAGATTTAAAAGGCAAGTGTATCTACATCTTAATACTCAAACATCTGATATATCTGCTGCTCTTTGGAAGAAGAAATATTGTATTTACAAAAAGCGATAAGAATCAGTGAGGGTTTTGAGGGTAGGCATTGCTCAGATTGTTTTTGTGAAAATATTTTGCAGATGTGCATTTTAGCATCTGAATGTGAACATCTCTCCAGGGCCCTTGAACTATATATATTAGCCAATGAGAAAGGACATTTTCTTAGAACTTTTAGTCTATAGTCTACCTGCAGTTTACCCTGTTCCAAATATTCTCATATTTGCCACCGTGACTCCAGTTTGTTAAAATTGTAAATATCACTTGCGCAGATTAAGTGAGAGTTAGTAAAGTAGGTCTGATGCATTATTTGTATTTCAGCTTCATATTATATTTTCAACTGAAGAACATAAGGCTCTAAAAACTCTTCAATAAAGCAAACACAATATGTCAGTAGAGGAGTGGAGAAGCTAGGATATGTAGAGTGAGAATGAGGGACCCAGGAAAAGTTAGAGTAAATACTGAAAAATTCATCAGGACTCATTTGTTAAAAGGACAAAATGTAATACCCTAGTAATACATCAAAATAAAATGGTACAGAATTATATATCTCGTCTCACTGTACGTATAGTACGAATTCCAAAAGGACGTGTAATGACAGCCTCTTACAAGGAAGAAATTTGTTGCATCATATCCTCCTCTCACCTCCTAACGGACAACTTACTCATTTCCAACTATTATACTGGAACTTCTTAGTATTGGAAACTATTAAATATTTCAACATTATTAATGTCCAGACAGTCTGGTTATTTTTCATACTTTATTAATTATTTGTGATGCTCATAAAAAGACTCTAGGCTTCATCATATTATTGTAGACTGTGGATTCATTTATTGCAGTACAGGAAGGCTGGGACTGATGTATTACAAACATTACCTGGACCCTAAGGATGGGGAGGAGTACAGAATAAACAAGAAAAAAAATCTCATTTTTCTCCCAGATTCAAAGTTTTGTGAATTCATCAAAAGAACAGGACTGGCAGTTATTGGCTAAAGAAGAAAGGGTTGTAGAATGGCTTATTTATAGAGCTGAGCTAAAAGCCAGATGGCCTCAGTTAAAATTATATCTCTCCCTTCCTAGCAGGGTGATTCTGAACAAGTTATTTGACCACTCTTAAGCAAGCTTCAGTTTCCTTACCTTTAAAATGGGTATAATAATGGAACCTACCTCATAGAATTTTTGAAGGCTATTGACTCATTTTATATAAAGTGCTTAGAATACTGCCTAGCATATAGTAAAAACTTAGTAAATAATTGTTGCCATTATTTTTATCATTCCAAGCAAGTTTTCTCTTTTCTTTTTTCTATGTAATCACTCTTCTATACTGGCTCCTCCCTTTAAGTTTAATTTTAGAAAAGTAAAATTCCTTGAACAATGTTTCTAACACAATCTACTATCCCATCTTTCTCCTTGCCTTCACCGCCACACTTCGTTAAAGACTTGTCTCTCTAGTCTTTCATTCCTCCCAAATCCCATCTGCCCTTATACTTTTATAATCTGATTCTTACCACTAGTGTGCCACTGAAACAGCTTTGATTAAATTCATCAGTGATCTCTTAGTTTTAAATTCGTGGGCCCATTCACTGTCATGCCATTGCACACTTTGATCATCTCAAATGCTTTCTCTTCTCGGCCTTGTCCCCTTCACTTCTCTTGTCTCCACCTGCTCCTCTTCAGTCACCTTACCTGATTTTATTCCCTCCAAAGGACACTTAATTAAAGTCATTTCCCCAAATCTCTACTCTCAGCATCTTTAAGTTCAATCAGCATACTTACCTGGGAATCTCCCTTGGTTGTATCTTGCCAACTTCCACATTTTCTTCACTAGAAGAAAACCTATTTTTTAATTTTCAGTTACCAGTGACATTGACATTTGCACATGGATGGTGCACCAGCACTCTAAATCAGCATGAGTTTTCCCATTTCTTGATTCTCTGACTCATACGTTATAATGCCGCCAGGTATAGTATTCATCTTTCAAGACACATTTCAAATTGAACCTCCTTTACAAAACCTCCTAAGAGCTCCAAGTTAAATTGTCTCACTACTCCAAACTTTCCTTGAGTCTCTTTCTTATTTATGGTTATTTTTACCTATATAGCAATTTTTTACCCACTACTGTAAGATGTTGAGAGCTCAAAATATATCACTATAATTTTCAAAGTACCTCAAAAATGACAGAGCGAACATAAAATCTGATATTTAATAAATGGCTGCTGAATTGGATGGCTGAATGTAACGAGAGCTATTGCTTCTTAAAATGGTAAATGAGATGGAGTGATAACATAATTTGTACATAAACATGTAGAAGCATAGTACGATTACAGACTTTGGAGTAAAAAATTAAACAATATTCTAGTAACTATGACAAAAACTGCCAAAATGAATATATATGTATGTGTGTGTATATATATTTACATATATATACATAAATATATATGTAACTATATATACATAAATATATATGTAAATATACACATAAATATATATATACAGACACACACACAAAGGGTATACCTATAATTCAGTATATCAAATGTAAAAGTATATAATTAATTATATACATACCTAATTAAATATGTGCAATAGGTAAAATATATTTTGTAAGATATTTCAGATATGCCATTCCCTTTGCTATTTTTGTGATGATAGAGGGCAACAGCTGAAGGTGACTCATTCTAGAATCGTATTATGTGCTTAAGGGCATTTGAGAAAAATTATCTGAAAATTGTGATATATGAATTAAAGGGCGAGGAAGGATGGAGAAATTCATCTACTTTAACTCCTGCTATAGAGTTTAAATTTCTTACATTCTATTGAAATGATCAATTAATATATAGAGAAAGAGAATATTCATAGAATTCCTGACAATATGCTTCACAAACTTCCTTGATTGTTAGTGTTTCAGTATTTTTGTCATTCTTAGTGTAAAAAGCTCAAAATTGTCAAGGACATTAACCAAAACAAGGCTAGCCAATTAGATAAAATAACTCCTATTTTTAAAAAGAAAATACTCCCTTCTAACTTTCACAATTCTTTTAAAAAAATTCTTATTGGCTATTATCTATTAGTTCAGTCATGTATCATAGTATTAGTTTCTTTCCATCTTTGATATATTTATTGAAAATATTTTGATTTTTATGTCCAAAATTGGGTCTAGGGTTTGACATTTAAAGATCTCTCATATCATTACAACTATTTTTTTTTTATTTTCTTTCCATGCATTTAGAGATTTTGAAAATTTAAGCAGCACATTTGATTTTAAATATCTACTGTTTATCATTAAATTACTATTTAAAATGTTCTTCCCCTCCTTAAATTGGGCAGCAACATTGGAGAAAATTGTAATGTCTTGCAGTAATCATTAATTGATAAAAGCCTTTGTAATTGGCACAAAGTAATTTCTTGAAAAGACACATTTACTATCTGAGCCAGCAAAAACTGCCACCACTCAGAGTTGCTCAAGTTATGAGGTCATCAGCTGGCTGCCTCTAGGAAATAGTTTGAATAGAGTCATGAAAGTCTTCCTGGACCAAAGTTTCTCCAGGAGATTACCTTATGACCAGGGGAACCTCAACTGTAATCAGTCCTTAGGGCTAATGCCTTCCAGTATCTAGTATAATAAGAGAACGAAATATTTGCTGAAGAATTGAATGCATTTTTAGATATGCAGAAGGAGAAAAAATGCAGATAACTATCTGCCTCTTTCACAATTAAGAAAAGCAAAATTCTGCAATTCTATTCCAACCAAACTAAAAATGCCAACTGGTATTTAACATCATGAAGGCACATTTCGGATGGGCTCTGTAAGAGGAGTCAGGAAGGAACACTTGAAAATGCAGTGCAGTAAAGTTGGGTGCTTCCTAAAATTGTTCTCAAATATCTGGATGAGAAGAAATCAGAAATCATTCATGCATGTTTTAAGCAAAAAAGTTCTATGTGCAAAACCAGTCTTTCAGCTATAATAAATTTCAAGCAAAAGTAGAGATATAACCTGAATTTTAAAAGAAATCCTTTTGATTTTTTAGCTTATGAAGAAAGAAATGAAATAGGCTCAACCATATTATATCGCCAAATGTCTGTTAACTGACTTTTTACTCAAATAGTTTTTTTAACAGTTCTAGAATTACGGATTCACTACATATTTTATATTCAAACACTTCTGAGACAGAGGTGAGAAAATAACTTTTTTCTTGGGGAAGAATGCTAATGTTGACTGAAGCCCTAGGCCTTAGTTTGTTGCATCCCTCAAAATGGAGATTAAGGTACAGACATGTTAATATTACAGCCACAAAAGAAGAAAGTAATGAGGCAGATAGGAGAACTCTCTCTGTATGCAAGTTGTTTACTTATCTTGCCACAATTTTTAAGAATTTTGGGGTATCAACATGCCAAACAAAATGGAGAATAATAAAACTTATTTTATACCTTTCAGGCTTTGTTCTTTCAGGCAAAGAAATGACAAAAAGATAGCTAATTTTCTTACAGTGCTGTTTTCCTAGGAAGGTAAATATTGTATCTAATAATTGACTTTCATCCACAGGTTACACTACTTCCTCCCTGATCCAATTTTGGGATCTCTCTGGCTCAAGATTTTGGTCCTCATGGGTGGCAGGGATTACATTAGGTTTAGGCAACTGTGCCTCTTCCCAAAGCCAACACTCACTGAGTCCATCAGGTGACTTTCCTATCCATCTGCATGGCTACGGAGGAAACAGGCCATGCTGGAGTGTTAGCATCCTTCCACCCTCTCCTTCCTGGGTTACTATTATCCCATCGATTTGCCCCTGAAGTGAACTTCTAAAAAACCTGCTCACTTCAGTTGTTCTCTCTGCAAAGCTTTGTGTAGACTTCCGGCTCTCTCTTCAGTTACTGAAATTACATGGAATTACAAGGTATGAGCTCCCTGTTTTTCTTATTAGATTCAAATTAACACCTCTATATTTATGGCTAGAGACTCACTAAAGAGAGCCCAAAGGCAACTTAATACAAAACAAACACACAAACAAAAAGGAAAACTCTCTTAAATCATTCTTACTTCTTTCAAAACATTGAATATTTCCTTCATATTCTGCCTTTATGAAATTATACATTTTTCCAATGAATTCTAGGAGAATCTCAAATTAAAGTTTACTTTCGTGGCCCTCACAAAATCAGGAACTTGATTCATTTATTCAATAAAAAGTTTATTGAGCACCTATTAAGATCCAGGTGACAGGAGTACAGTAGTGAACCAGATAAAAATCAATGCCTTCATGAAGTCAATAGATTTTTGTCTTTCTGCTTACATATCCATATACTTTTGATCTGTATAAAGCTTGACTCTACTTGTGCTATTATATTGCTCAAAAATCTTTAATAGCTTTTAATTTTTACCTAATACAGTCTAGGATCCTCACCATGCACCCTGAGCATCCTCATGTTGTTTCCCAGAAACTCCTTGGGCATTACCACTTCATGACACACCACCGAGACATTCTCTGCTCTTCCATACTCTCTAATGTAGAGGGATTATTACCAAGTTCAGATACTTCATGACCCAGAATTAAGTGTGTTCTACTTAGACATGGTCTATCTCAGCTCTGCCTTCCCTAGAATTTTATTCTTTACTTCTCTTATGGAATTTATATCATTCATTTCTCGTAGCTTATATCCTTATCTTCCTAGTATGTTTTAAGCTTTTGAAGGTGGTCAATATGTTTTGTTCATTTCGCAACCATTCTCCATTCATGCCTCTAATTGAGAATATAGATAGTTCTCTACAAATGGTGAATTACTCCATTATTGCAATATAATATTTGAATTATTCTTTAGTTTTTATATGCTACTCTATGTCTTATATGGTTGTCAGATACTGAGATTAATATAGGTGTGATTTAAGAGAGGACTATACGAAGTAATGAAATTAAATATCTAGTCCACCTGAAAAATATGAAGCTAAGTTTTCCTCGTGTATCACCCACTATATCCTAGGAACAAGGTTGGGACCTATGGAAATAAAATGAGCTTGTTCATGCCATAAAGATGTTTCCTGGGGCTTGTCTGCTGAACACAGGAAAATACAATAGGTGTCTGGGTAGCTGAGACTTAGATTCAGCTAAAATGCAATTTATAAGATATACTGCTTAACATTATTTCTGGAAAATCTCAGAGGACCATATTATTGGTTTCTTTAGAAACCAGGAGGTAGGCAATTTCATTATTCATATTTGTATTACCTTCCTAAGTAAGAAATGAGGATATTTTAAATAACAGTTCTATTGTCAAGTTAGGCCTTTGGAAATTTCAGAGTTGATAAGAAAACATTTATTTTCAGGAATTATTTTGTAAGGCTACTGCTTTACTTTAGTGTGACTCTATGGACTGAAAGAGGCATGCTATAGAGGTTTCTTCAAGTGCCTGATTTACACTCAGAAAATGGAAATTAGTTTACTCACAAAAAGAATCGGATTGAATGATTTCTTCCATTTACTGTGTTTCAGCTAGACAATCAATTTTGTTCTATGCCAAATTTCAGAACAATCATTACTGGTCTAAGGAGAAGACACCCAGAGTCTGGGGTTGATCTCTTATTTCTCTATATGGGTCCCTTTTGGACTTGATGTTCAGCAATTGTAATTGCAGAACATGGTACAAAGTTGCACTAAAATTGGAGGTTAGAGAATATCTTAAATCTTTTATAACAATATGGTACTCTGTGCAGCCAAGAACACTGCAAAAACAATAGCAATAACAATGACTATCACAATTGTATCCACCATCTTTTGCCAATACTGATCCGTCTATTTTTAATTCATGTGATAGGTGTTTCCTCATATCAACCCAACCAACTCTCCCATTCTTTTGTTTGTTTGTTTTTTCAGAAGTAGATAAAACATGCTTCAGTTCTTCCAGGTTGATCTTCCTGGAAAAACCCATTCATCTCTCCAAATATCCATTTATCCTTCTTGCCAGTATTTGCCAAGCACCTACCA